ACATATCTCAGTAGAAAGTTCTAGTTTATGTAACAATGTGACATATCTCAGTAGAAAGTTCTAGTTTATGTAACGAGATGACATATCTCAATAGAAAGTTCTAGTTTATGTAACGAGATGACATATCTCAGTAGAAAGTTCTAGTTTATGTAACAACGTGACATATCTCAGTATAAAGTTCTAGTTTATGTAACAACGTGACATATCTCAACAGAAAGTTCTAGTTTATGTAACATGACATATCTCAGTAGAAAGTTCTAGTTTATGTAACAACATGACATATCTCAGCAGAAAGTTCTAGTTTATGTAACAATGTGACATATCTCAGCAGAAAGTTCTAGTTTATGTAACAACGTGACATATCTCAGTAGAAAGTTCTAGTTTATGTAACATGACATATCTCAGTAGAAAGTTCTAGTTTATGTAACAACATGGCATATCTCAGCAGAAAGTTCTAGTTTATGTAACAACATGACATATCTCGACAGAAAGTTCTAGTTTATGTAACAATATGACATATCTCGATACAAAGTTCTAGTTTATGTAACAACATGACATATCTCGATAGAAAGTTCTAGTTTATGTAATAACATATCTCAACAGCTGAAAGTCCATAAGCACTAAGCAGGATATTAACACTATTACATAAACTAAAAAGAAAAAAGAAAGGTTTGATTAAAAAACAAAGGTAACTGAACTGTTAGTATTCAAATTAATTCATAAATTATATAAGATAATAACTAATGTGATTTATTAGTAACACCACCACATGGAGGACTATTAACTAGTACTGATACTACTGGGATTAGTAACAACACCACATGGAAGTTAATTAACTAGTACTGATACTACTGGGATTAGTAACAACACCACATGGAAGTTTATTAACTAGTACTGATACTACTGGGATTAGTAACAACACCACATGGAAGTTTATTAACTAGTACTACTACTACTGGGATTAGTAACAACACCACATGGAAGTTTATTAACTAGTACCCATACTACTGGGATTAGTATCAACTACCTGAATAAGAGATCTCATGTTCGCAAAGTGTGCATCCATGGCTCCACCGTGAGGAAAGTTTGCAGCCATCCTCTTCATGAGTTCACAGAAACAGCTGTATGTCAGTACCTCTGTTGACGAGATTAAACCAGTTTTTATATCACGGAACATTTTTTCACTAACAACTTGCTATTTCATAGGAGTGATAGAAAGTAAAAGCAGTAAAATTCACCGTAGTTATACATATCTCTCAACACTTTATTCCAAAATTCTAGTTACCAGTCTTATCTGGGATTAAACACTGACAAACAGTGTTCTAGTTACCAGTTTTATCTGGAATTAAACACTGACAAACAGTGTTCTAGTTACCAGTTTTATCTGGGATTCAACACTGACAAACAGTGTTCTAGTTACCAGTTTTATCTGGGATTAAACACTGACAAACAGTGTTCTAGTTACCAGTTTTATCTGGGATTAAACACTGACAAAAGTGTTCTAGTTACCAGTTTTATCTGGGATTAAACACTGACATAAAGTATTCTAATTACCAGAATGTGGGTAACAACGCTTGCATAACAACATTCTGAGCTGTTAGTTACAGCACCATATTAATAGTGACAATAAACCTTTTTTAATAATAGTAACAATATTTTAATGTTATTCCATTCTAAATAACAACTCACCATCATCAAAGATCACCAGCAAAGGAGCAACTAAATCACACATCCCTTGGACGTAGCCAACATCCAAGTGTTCCCATACATAGCTAGAATAGAAAATAGTTAAACCAATATAATCAAAAACAAACTTAACATACACTGATTATGTTGTTATCCATTATACACACACACTGATGACGCACATGATCAGAAAGTTAACAAAAGACTGCTTCTCTAAGAAATTAAGTTTTCAAAAAAATCTTGGACAAATCAGTTTCCAGTGAAACTAAGCTTCATGTTACAAACTTATTTTACAAAGTTAAAAGCTTTAGAAAGAACATCAGAATGTGTTATTAGTTTTCATTTGAGAATTAGATAATTTTTCTTATGTATGATAAATATTTTATCTAAACACAAAATATTTAATTTAATAATAAGCAGTCGACATAAGTTCCATAAAACTAATAAATGTTTTATCTAAACACAAAATATTTAATTTAATAATAAGCAGTCGACATAAGTTCCATAAAATTAAAAAACGTTTTATCTAAACACAAAATATTTAATTTAATAATAAGCAGTCGACTTAAGTTCCATAAAACTAATAATTAACTTAAAGTTAAGAGGTTTATAAATTCCCTCATCTTGTTAGTTAGGTTTAGGATTATTCTAGATATCTATTTGTAAAAAAAAACACTAAATTACTCACGTGCACATCACGTTTCTGAGCTTTTCCAAGTTTTCAACCCTAAAATACCAGTAATTACGGTCACATCTTTGGACATCTTTTTCAATTCTGTGGAGATTTAGGGAAAACTGGTCCAAAAGTTCCATCTGGATGGCAAAACAATTATTTTTAGATAGTGTTTTTGTGTACAGTTGAATATATCAGTTCTCAAAACAAGTGTTGGAAACTAGTGACAATCCAGAAGCAATAAAAAGGTGGATTTTTTTACTTCCTCCAGACTTAGGACACTAATTAACAATCACATGCATATAAATATTAGGATGTTACAACACTATTTAGAAACTTACTGAGTAGACACCACCACTAGAAGATGCTGGAGAAATACAGCTTGACCGAGAGTCTGCTGATAGCTGACTATCTCCATCTCCATAGTCTCTGGGTAACAATTCATCTCTTGCGAATTCTACATCATCTTCTGGTTCATTATCACCCTCTTTCGGATCATCATTCTCATCTTTCTGTTCATCACCATTGATGTCCACTGAGGGATTTGTAATAATAATACTTTGGCTCTGACTGTCAACTATGAAAGATGAAGATGAAAGAAAAACCGATTAAACAGAACACAATCATTCTTTGTGAAATCAATGACGTCAGGCTAGTATATATTATCAACAGCCATTACGATTAGGGCTAGTTACTGTAAACCACGTCTGTATACTCCAAAGGCAATTTGGCAGGAGTGAAAAAACAATTGACCTTCATGAAAACCTAACGTAAGTGGGTAACATTATGCAAGTTAAGCCTTTACATGATTTTTTATATCTACCAGAAATATCAAAATATAATAGCATGGACATGTAATTAGCAAATTACACAAGTAGGGCTAAGGTATAGAAATTCTAATCATGGCAGAAATGGTTTAATTGGAAAAATGCCATAGTAAAGTTAATAGCATCACCCTCAACAAGAAAATCTAAATTATGGTAGGAAAGCAGAGCTTATGTAAGATCTCCTATAAACTAAGCTATGTCCCATAAAGTATCACACTATTTGATATGTCAGATTAAGAAAACCTAGTATCTAGGTGATTTACAACTTTTTTTTTGATAATTCCTTTGAAAATGGCTATTGAGTTATGTACAACCTACCTTGATAATGCCTAATCAAACGACCTCTAACATATTTTAATGTAACCGGTTGGGACTCAGCACCTTCAGTTTTGGGGTAATGCTCCTCAAATGATGAAAATGCTTCTTCCGAACCCTGTCATAGTGTAATTAGTACAATATGTAGTACCCGCACTTGGAAAAAATGTTATCATTCATCAATCAATAATAAAGTTAGCGTGTGAAACAATTAATAAATAAACCTAAATTTTTACAATCCAATGTAACTGATAATAAGTAGAGCACGTAACATATATTTAGTGGCAAAAAAGCTTACCATTAAATACATTTGAAGATTTCATGATTTTCCCTAAGACTGATGTGTGTGTGAAAGACAGGAAAAAGTCATTTATGACAAAACTAAATAACCTGTAGTTATTCAGATTGTTTGAAAAAAAAAAAAGAGACCATTTCTTATTTATATTTTCTTTCTTAAAACTTAAGACTAAGACAGTGGTGTTTAGTTGACAGTTACCCATGGAATTACTGAACTATTAGACAGAGAAAATAAACTACTACAAGTTTACCAAAACATTTTTGATCTATGGATTTTCAAGGTTTAAGTAATTCATACCCATTAGCTCGTATCTACAAAACAAACTATACATCTTCACTTCAATTTATGAATATTTGTGATTTAAGCCAGATGTTCTTACAAATATAAGTAATATAAGCGAAACATTTCTTAACCCTAGAATTACTGAAGTACCATCTTGCTTGTAGATCCATAACTTTGTTGGTCACAGTTAAGACTAGTGTATGAGTCACACAGAAAATGTATTTAACAAAAGTACCATAAATACTGTAGTTTCCTGTGTATTTCAGCTAGGAAATAAGTAACAGTAACCAATTTTTTGTCATTTTATTTATACTGAGTGTTTTAAGAGGCAAAAGTACTCAAAATGATGGAATATGTAGACCCGAGCAGCAGTGAACAGTAGTTGAGGGTTATGTAGACCCGAGCAGCAATGAACAGTAGTTGAGGGTTATGTAGACCCGAGCAGCAGTGAACAGTAGTTGAGGGTTATGTAGACCCGAGCAGCAGTGAACAGTAGTTGAGGGTTATGTAGACTCGAGCAGCAGTGAACAGTAGTTGAGGGTTATGTAGAACCGAGCAGCAGTGAACAGTAGTTGAGGGTTATGTAGACCCGAGCAGCAGTGAATAGTAGTTGAGGGTTATGTAGACCCGAGCAGCAGTGAACAGTAGTTTAGGGTTATGTAAGCCCGAGCAGCAGTGAACAGTAGTTTAGGGTTATGTAAGCCCGAGCAGCAGTGAACAGTAGTTGAGGGTTATGTAGACCCGAGCAGCAGTGAACAGTAGTTGAGGGTTATGTAGACCCGAGCAGCAGTGAACAGTAGTTATGTACAATATGTGAAAAAACAGAACAATTCACAATTCTGTTTTTAACATTTACAAGTATTCCACCATATAATGCCATTGTATTACTGTATTCTGCTATTAGTGCCATCAGTTACCTTCCTGATGTCAGATTTTTCGTCATGTTCTTCAAATGATTCACTGGGACTGATGTCTTCAAATACTTCATTATTCAGATTGGCATCTTTAGGACCTATGTGAGAAACAGTTTAATAAACCCACAATAAGAATACTGTTCGTTCATGATGTGTCATTTCTCAACTAGAAGCAACTGAGTTTTTAAGATCTCTCGAACTGAATCTGTAACTTAATTAGAACCTGGAAAACATACAAAGTCTAACAGAATAAACATCTAAACAATGATTTACAGTTAACAATACAGTAGTTATCATTAGACTAAAAGAAGATTAATAATGTGACAGTGTAACACAATAAATAGTAGAAATAATACAGTTATCATTAGACTAAAAGAAGATTAATAATGTGACAATATAACACAATAAATAGTAAAAATAATACAGTTATCATTAGACTAAATGAAGATTAATAATGTGACAATATAACACAATAAATAGTAAAAATAATACAGCTATCATTAGACTAAAAGAAGATTAATAATGTGACAATATAACACAATAAATAGTAAAAATAATACAGTTATCATTAGACTAAATGAAGATTAATAATGTGACAATATAACATAATAAATAGTAAAAATAATACACAGATGGAAACTAAAGTCAACAGCATAATAATGTAACAATAACAATGATGCCAGTTTTTTGTTTGCTTGTTGTAAAACAGAATACTATACAACGGCCTTTGATCTGCCCACCACAGGTATTGAAACCAAACTTTTAGAATTTTAAGCCCACTGACTTATCACTGGGGCACTAGTAGGCTAGTGATTGATAAGTAGTTTCATTTTCTCAATGCCAGGTAATGTTTAGTTTTACCTTCTAAAACTTTGTTTTATAACTGTGGGCATACGCTACGTCTTGTGCATGTATATATATATATATATATTTCTGTAGTCATAGTTGTAACATTTTACTTACCAATATTATACTTGGATTAAAATAAAAATCTGTTAATTCTAGTCAACAAACCACCCATTCAGTAAATTTTACAGTTCACTAGTTTCACAAAGTGTTCACCCATCAGAAAGCATAAAATGTGCTTTTGGCATTTACCAACAAGGGGTATTTCACTATTGGTGCTCTCTGAAGATAGCTTTGCCATGTTTGCTTCCATGACTTCTTTGTCTTGTTGTCGTACGATGGCTTCTACAGCCAGCCACTCCGACATTGTAGTCTCATACGCAGTCTGTATGCTGTTGTCATGTTTCTTGCGTTCTTCTGCAGTGCTGCCAAACTGATAATGGCCTAGCAAGTAGGGCCAAACCTATGCATCAATACAAAAATATGTCAAACAAAGAATTCAATAAATCCAAGTCACTTCAGTCTGGCATCCAAACAAACAAGTCATCTGATTCTGGTATCCAAACAACTATTTAATAAATTCATCTCATTCTGGCATCCAAACCAATAATTCAGTAAATCCAAGTCATCTAATTTTTTTAATATTATATAGTTATAAGCACGAACATAAGCCTAATGAAATGAATGCAAAGCTGAAGATCTTCATTAATGCTGCTGATATTTTAGCATCTGACACTAATAAAAGTAACATTCAGTGACCTCCCAGAAGTGAAAAAAAATCCCGTAAAACTTTTCAACATGTAGTGGCTTAAGTATGACCCCACAATTACAGGGGGAAGGCCCGAGCCAAAAGGGTGCTCAAAGACCTAACAAGTTTAAGAATTGCCAACAAGGGGAATAAATGTACGGGGGCCAATCTTTTGTAGTTATGTCACTGCCAACATGGCTCAATTAAACAATTAATAAAGCTTTTGCTAACTAAACTCTTGTTTCTCAAGACTTTAAGCAATATTAAAAGCAAATCAAAATCCTGTTTCTCAAGTTTGTAAGAGAAACAAAATTATGGTGTACCATTCATCTTAAGTTAATCATAATCTAAGTCAAACTTTATAAGCTCCTATATAGATCAATCATTCTATTTTCCAACTGATATAGTCTGTTGCCAAGACAAGCTACAGAGAGACAATAATAACATCCAAGTTTAGTTTTTAAAATTAAATTGTCTAATGACTAAAATGGAAGTTAGGAATTAGGAGAAGATTTACGGTTATCTTTTTAATTATACCTCTTTTCTGATGCTATGCTCTATACCACCAAAGTAAGTTAATCTGTATATCTCACTGGCTTCTTTCACACAGTCATTCTCTTGAAGGGTCATCCACACCTCTGAAGTTAATCCCGAAGCTGCATGGGTGGGCTCAGTATCCGAAACAATTGTTGCGTTCACAAGTCCTGACAGGTGGGTGCGAACTGTACGTAGGTGACGACAGTGAGCTAACCCTAACAGGAATAATACTTGTTTTATATCATGTTTGGCCACAAGACAGCTGAAATTTGGACTATACAGTGGTGATGACAGTCAGCTATCCCTAACAACAATATTCTTTTCATATTATGTCAGGTCAAAACCAGTTATAATTTACATGGTATACTGTT